AAGTTGATCAGATATTGGCCAAGGAAGATGCACAGATTTGAGGTCTACTTTCAAGATACTTGTGAGGCATGCATCTCGTTGGTGAACGTGATTTATGACACAGACTGAGGGGAGGGAGGAAACAGGGGTAAAGTTCAGCCATAGTTACATGTACATGTATGTGTGAGGGGAACCTTTACCTCTATTACCTCTACCATTACCTTTAGCTATATTAGGGGCTGGACACCAGATTGGGTCCTTTGAAGACAGTTTTAGGGGATTTGTATGGATTCATTTAGCGACCACTATGCTTAATGGCTGTCGTAAAAAGTGTCAGAAAAACACTTAGGGACACATGGGCGCCTCAACTTACAACCATGATGACGTACGACTGGATTTCCAGTCCTAGTCTCAACTGTGGGTTGTAAATCGAGGACTTCCTAGAGGCAGACGCACTGGATGGTGGGCCACTGGGTGATCTCTTACAAGTTGCTTTTTTACCCCTCCTTCTTCTCCATCACAGACGGCAACCTCTATGCCGTTGGAGGCTACGACAGCTCATCCCACTTGGCAACGGTGGAGAAGTACGAACCGCAGGTAAAGAGGGGGAGGGGGAAGGCAAAACGTGGGGCGGATTCTCGCACCCTCCTCCCTGCTGCTTGAGTGGAATGAGCCCCAAGGGGGAGGGGGAGAGCTTAGAGCAGAAGAGGAGGTACATTCATTTAGGGGCTGTTCTAAGTTACGACGGCACTGAAAAGTTTGTGACTTGCAACCGGTTCCCCTACGCGCAACCACGGCAGGACTCCCGTGGTCATGTGATCGAGATTCCGGTGCTTGGGAACTGGGGTGTATTGATGGTGGGTTGTAGCACGGGGGTCAGCAACTTTAAACACTAAGAGCCACAAAGGTCCTAACCAAAGCCCCCCCCCCGTTCAGTTCTGGAGCAGACCGGAAGTCCATTTCCCCCCCACCATAGAGTCTCTTCCTAGCGTGGCATTCTTTTTCCCTCTGCACACTGGAAGTCTGGTTTCCCTACCATAGATTCTCCTCCTAGCGTGGTGTCCTTTTTCCTCTGCCAACTGGAAGTCTGGTTCCCCCACCATACAGTCTCCTCCTAATGCGGTGTCCTTTTTCCTCTGCCAACTCGAAGTCCAGCTCCCCTACCATAGATTCTCCTCCTAGCACGGCATCCTTTTTTCCTCTCTGCTGACCAAAAGTCCAGTTCTCCCACCATAGAGTCTTCTCCTAACGCGGTGTCCTTTTTTCTCTGCTGACCAGAAGTCTGGTTCGTCCATCATAGAGTCTCCTCCTAGTGCGGCATCCTTTTTTCCTCTGCTGACCAGAAGTCTGGTTCTCCCAGCATAGAGTCTCCTCCTAGCACGGCATCCCTTTTTCCTCTACCTCTCCTAACCGAAAGCCCGATCAATTGTGGACCTCACCGGCGACAGGGAGCCACAGCAGAGGGATGAAAGAGCCACATGCGGCTCCAGAGCCAAACAGGTTGCTCACGCCTGCTGTAGGAGAAGGTTCAGAGGGTGGAGTTAAAAGTGGTATCAGTCTGGAATCCCTATGTAGCCGCAAGTGAACCAAGTTCAACCTTCCTTGAGTTCCGTTGAGCCTTTGCTAATTCCTGGCAGGTGCTTAAAGTTAGTTGAGAAGGTAGGGATAATTAGCAACAAATCAACTTAATTAGACCTTTAATGGTGGCACTGAGACTCCTGGGGTGAGAGGGTTGCCATTTGCAAAGCCCATGGGGCAAGCCGGATTCGCTTAATGACTCCGATTCACTTAACAATTGCATAACAACCATGGCAAAAACCAGGCACAACTCGCATGAAATGTCTTGTTTAGCCACAGAAATTCTGATGCCCGTTGTATTGGGTCGTAACTCAAGGACTACGTGTGACTGGTAAATCTAGGGCCCCAGATAGCTTAATATCTATTCTCCTTTTGGCTTGCTTTTTAAAACTTTTAATGATAATATTGTTGCATGTTAATTTTTTAAATCGAGTTAAATGTTGCCCAGAATCACACTTTTGTGAGACAGGTGACCATATAAATTTGATGAATGAACGAACGAGAGAGAGGAGAAGGAAAGAAAAGGAAAGGAGTAAGAGGGAAGGGAAGGAAAGAAAAGGAAGGGAAAGGAAGGGAAAGGGAAGGAGGAAGAGGGAAGGGAAAGGAAGGGAAGGGAAAGGAGGAAGGGGGAAGGAAGGGAAGGGAAGGGAAGAAAAGAAAGGGAAGGAAAGGAAAGAAAGAGAAGGGAAAGAAAAGGAAGGGAAAGGGAAGGAGGAAGAGGGAAGGGAAGAAGGAAAGAAAAGAAAGGGAAGGGAAAGAAAGAAAAGAAAAGAAAGGGAAAGAAAGGGAAGGGAAAGGATGAAAACGGAAGGAAAGGGAAGGAAAGAAAAGAAAGGGAAAGGAAGGGAAAGGGAAGGAGGAAGAGGGAAGGGAAGAGAAAGGAGGAAGAGGGAAGGAAGGGAAGGAAAAGAAAGAAAAGAAAGGGAAGGAAAGGAAAGAAAGAGAAGGGAAAGAAAAGGAAGGAAAAGGGAAGGAGGAAGAGGGAAGGGAAGAAGGAAATGAAAGAAAGGGAAGGGAAGAAAAGAAAAGAAAGGGAAGGGAAAGAAAGGGAAGGGAAAGAATGAAAAGGGAAGGAAAGGGAAGGAAAGAAAAGAAAGAGAAGGGAAAGGAAAAGAGGAAGAGGGAAGGGGCATAAAGGGAAGGGAAAGGAAGGGAAAGGAAAGGAGGAAGGGAAGGGAGAGAAAGGGAAGGGAAGGGAAAGGAAAGGAGGAAGAGGGAAAGGAAAGAAAAGAAAGGAATGGGAAAGAAAGGAAAGAGAAAGGAAAGGGGGAAGAGGGAAGGGACAAAGGGAAGGAAAGGAAAGAAAAGAAAGGGAAGACAAAGGAAAGGAGGAAGAGGGAAGGGAAAGAAAGGGAAGGAAAGGAAGAGGGGAGGGGAAGGGAGGAAAGGAAAGGAAAGGAGGAAGGAAGGATAGAAAAAGGAGAAAGAAAGGAAGGGGGAAAAGGAAGGAAGAGAAAGAAAGAAAGATCTGAAGAAACTTTGGATCCCCAGGTGTATCTTTTACAACTCTAAAAAAGGTGGAGAGTCTTTTTTTGAAGCTGAATTTTCGGGGGAAGCTGAGACCTTTTCATTTTAAAACTTCTCCTTTGTCTCTCCTCTCCCAGATCAACACCTGGACACCCATTGCCAACATGCTGAGCCGCCGGAGCAGTGCGGGCGTGGCTGTCCTGGAAGGGATGTTGTATGTGGCCGGAGGGAACGATGGGACCAGCTGCCTTAACTCGGTGGAGCGCTACAACCCCAAAACCAACACCTGGGAAAGTGTGGCTCCAATGAACATCCGTAGGTAGGTAGGGAGCAGCGCCCGAAAGATCGTGGCGGCCCAACAGTTGAGTTAATCTCCGCTTCCCACCAGATCAGGCTTTCTGATGTTGAAACTGCGAGGGGAACTGATCACATTTGCAGATGACACCAAGCTGGCAGGAATAGCCAACNAAGTTGATCAGATATTGGCCAAGGAAGATGCACAGATTTGAGGTCTACTTTCAAGATACTTGTGAGGCATGCATCTCGTTGGTGAACGTGATTTATGACACAGACTGAGGGGAGGGAGGAAACAGGGGTAAAGTTCAGCCATAGTTACATGTACATGTATGTGTGAGGGGAACCTTTACCTCTATTACCTCTACCATTACCTTTAGCTATATTAGGGGCTGGACACCAGATTGGGTCCTTTGAAGACAGTTTTAGGGGATTTGTATGGATTCATTTAGCGACCACTATGCTTAATGGCTGTCGTAAAAAGTGTCAGAAAAACACTTAGGGACACATGGGCGCCTCAACTTACAACCATGATGACGTACGACTGGATTTCCAGTCCTAGTCTCAACTGTGGGTTGTAAATCGAGGACTTCCTAGAGGCAGACGCACTGGATGGTGGGCCACTGGGTGATCTCTTACAAGTTGCTTTTTTACCCCTCCTTCTTCTCCATCACAGACGGCAACCTCTATGCCGTTGGAGGCTACGACAGCTCATCCCACTTGGCAACGGTGGAGAAGTACGAACCGCAGGTAAAGAGGGGGAGGGGGAAGGCAAAACGTGGGGCGGATTCTCGCACCCTCCTCCCTGCTGCTTGAGTGGAATGAGCCCCAAGGGGGAGGGGGAGAGCTTAGAGCAGAAGAGGAGGTACATTCATTTAGGGGCTGTTCTAAGTTACGACGGCACTGAAAAGTTTGTGACTTGCAACCGGTTCCCCTACGCGCAACCACGGCAGGACTCCCGTGGTCATGTGATCGAGATTCCGGTGCTTGGGAACTGGGGTGTATTGATGGTGGGTTGTAGCACGGGGGTCAGCAACTTTAAACACTAAGAGCCACAAAGGTCCTAACCAAAGCCCCCCCCCCGTTCAGTTCTGGAGCAGACCGGAAGTCCATTTCCCCCCCACCATAGAGTCTCTTCCTAGCGTGGCATTCTTTTTCCCTCTGCACACTGGAAGTCTGGTTTCCCTACCATAGATTCTCCTCCTAGCACGGCATCCTTTTTTCCTCTCTGCTGACCAAAAGTCCAGTTCTCCCACCATAGAGTCTTCTCCTAACGCGGTGTCCTTTTTTCTCTGCTGACCAGAAGTCTGGTTCGTCCATCATAGAGTCTCCTCCTAGTGCGGCATCCTTTTTTCCTCTGCTGACCAGAAGTCTGGTTCTCCCAGCATAGAGTCTCCTCCTAGCACGGCATCCCTTTTTCCTCTACCTCTCCTAACCGAAAGCCCGATCAATTGTGGACCTCACCGGCGACAGGGAGCCACAGCAGAGGGATGAAAGAGCCACATGCGGCTCCAGAGCCAAACAGGTTGCTCACGCCTGCTGTAGGAGAAGGTTCAGAGGGTGGAGTTAAAAGTGGTATCAGTCTGGAATCCCTATGTAGCCGCAAGTGAACCAAGTTCAACCTTCCTTGAGTTCCGTTGAGCCTTTGCTAATTCCTGGCAGGTGCTTAAAGTTAGTTGAGAAGGTAGGGATAATTAGCAACAAATCAACTTAATTAGACCTTTAATGGTGGCACTGAGACTCCTGGGGTGAGAGGGTTGCCATTTGCAAAGCCCATGGGGCAAGCCGGATTCGCTTAATGACTCCGATTCACTTAACAATTGCATAACAACCATGGCAAAAACCAGGCACAACTCGCATGAAATGTCTTGTTTAGCCACAGAAATTCTGATGCCCGTTGTATTGGGTCGTAACTCAAGGACTACGTGTGACTGGTAAATCTAGGGCCCCAGATAGCTTAATATCTATTCTCCTTTTGGCTTGCTTTTTAAAACTTTTAATGATAATATTGTTGCATGTTAATTTTTTAAATCGAGTTAAATGTTGCCCAGAATCACACTTTTGTGAGACAGGTGACCATATAAATTTGATGAATGAACGAACGAGAGAGAGGAGAAGGAAAGAAAAGGAAAGGAGTAAGAGGGAAGGGAAGGAAAGAAAAGGAAGGGAAAGGAAGGGAAAGGGAAGGAGGAAGAGGGAAGGGAAAGGAAGGGAAGGGAAAGGAGGAAGGGGGAAGGAAGGGAAGGGAAGGGAAGAAAAGAAAGGGAAGGAAAGGAAAGAAAGAGAAGGGAAAGAAAAGGAAGGGAAAGGGAAGGAGGAAGAGGGAAGGGAAGAAGGAAAGAAAAGAAAGGGAAGGGAAAGAAAGAAAAGAAAAGAAAGGGNAACTTGGCAACTTTAAAACTTGTGGACTTCAACTCCCAGAATTCTCCAGCTAGCTCTTCTGGCTGGAGAACTCTGGGAGTTGAAGTCCACAAGTCCACAAGTTGCCAAGTTTGGGAACCACTGCCCTAGAGCCAGGAATGACTAGCACATACGTGCGAGGGGAACCTTTACCTCTAACCTTTTATGAAGGCATCTGACTGTTTGCAAAATTGTGAGGAAAAGCATTTGAGATTCCAAAAAGCCAATCCATGGGATAGTTTGATAGCTCTAAAGAACATCTGAGGTAGGAAGAAGGAACGTTATGGTGGAGTCTGAAGCCACCTCTGTTCCACCAGTTTTAAGTGAGTCCTGTAGGATTAAAAGCTCCAGCTGCAGTGGTGGCCTCCTACCAGTTTGGACCGGTTTGGCTGAAGTCGTAGTGATATGGTGGCCTGGGTCGCTGGACCCAGCAGCGACCCAGGCTTGCTATACCCCCCGAACTGGTTCCCTGGTCTCTTCTCCCGTTGGAGAGAAGACAGGAGAAGATGGCAAAATGCCCTCTCAGGGAATTAGTAGTAAACTGGTTAGGAACCCACCACTCTCCAGCTGTTAGAGTTTAGCCACAGCCAGATGTTCTCCTGCCTGAAGGAACTCTAAACTCCCTTCCAACTCAGCTGTTCTGCTTTCTTCTTTTTAGAAGTACCCATGACTTGGTGGCCATGGAAGGCTGGCTCTACGCCGTGGGTGGGAACGACGGCAGCTCCAGCCTCAACTCCATCGAGAAGTACAACCCACGGACCAACAAGTGGGTGGCAGCTTCGTGCATGTTCACCCGGCGTAGCAGCGTGGGGGTGGCGGTGCTGGAACTCCTCAACTTCCCGCCCCCGTCCTCGCCCACCCTCTCGGTGTCCTCGACGAGTCTTTGACGAAGGACCCTGCCGTTCCCCGCCTCGCCCGGACTGCAGCGTCTGTCGGAGCGCGAAGCCGGCTTGGTCCCCCCCCTCCGGAAGCCGATCTCTGTGAAGGGGGGTGCTGCACCCGGAGACTTTCCCCCAGGGGGGGGCGTCCGTTGGGCTCAGCTGCAAGAGGGGAGTCTCCTACTAGAGAAGAAGACAACCGAAAACCGAGAATTCTCCGCGCGTCCATTGTTGATCTCACCGCAACTAGACCGATGCTGCCTGGTTCTCGTAGGCCAGACTCACCAACCTTTGAGCTCCACGACGGGACGTCAATTTCTGGATCTATCTCATGCCAGGGACTGAGTTTGGTAAGGGCAAAAATCAAGGGGCCGCCACGAGCTAAGCCTAACGACACCCAACCGTGGAGTTATTCACGCAGGCTGTGTGCCAACTACAGAACCTTTAAGCTGTGAACATCACAATTCGCCAAAAACCTCTTACCAAAACCTACGGTTGAAAGGTGTACGGGCGAAAGGAGTCCTCTCACCTCGGTGTCTAGCAAAAAAGGATGCCTTATGATGAAAAACGGGGCTGAGGTGCTCCACAGGTCCTCTCCGTGTTCTCCACGTCTGTAGGCCACCCATTCAGACATCCTCCTAGTATTTTTCCCGGGCGGCCCGTGTCCGGAGCTGTCTCCACATGGTGGCTTAGCTCCTCCTCTGAAACTGGGAAGAATTTGGTCGCAGTTGTTCGGTGGATTGGAGAGGCGTGGGGCCTACGGTGGATTCTGTGGTGTGACAGTTCGAGGTGCGCCGGTAGCATTTCCTTAATTGCTCGCCTCAGCTTCCCCTGCTTTGTGTGGTTGGGAGTGCCAATGATAGGGGCCTTTCTAATTTATTTGCTCACCTTTTTGCCAGCCAATCCGCTACCTGCCTGCCTGCCTGCCTTCCCCCTATTTATTTCCTTATTTATTTATTTAAATCGGAAGGTTTGCAGGACAGAAAATGGCGGATTTGGGCGCTTTGTTAATCTACTCCGGAGCCAAAAAACGTGGCCGCAATCTACTGAAGGGAAACTTTCGTGGGGGAAAAATATCCCCAAGTGCGGCCCAATCGCCACCTTCCTTTTGAACGGACCAACTTGGCATTGTGCATCTTGTCTTTTTGGCACCAATATGTGCCCGACTATTGTTCCGGAGCCTTCTCCCCACAATTCCTGACTAAAAAAAAAAATGTCTGATTTCAGAGTGTTATCCTGCCACGCTCGTTCACGGAAGGGAGTGTGAAGCGACATATAATATGAACTGCATTAGGTGGGTTTCGTTTTCAAAGCGCTAAGAAGGCGATCGAAAATTGTCCCACGGAGGGAGGGCAACGTTGCCGCACTTCACTTTGGAAGGATTTTTTTGTTTGAAAGCACGAAAATGCACAACGTTTGAGGCCTTGCCTTGAAAAGGTTCCAGTTGTTGTGCTGTTCCCTCACTTGGGGTGGGGTTTGGACTACAAAACCCAGCTTGGATGCCAGCTAGCCCGCCGTGGAGAAAATTGGGTGTGGGGGGGGAGAGGAAAGGAAGTTGCTTGAAGAGTATGGATGACCTCTCTTTGTCTTTTGTCTTTTGGATGCAACAGTGAAAATTCTGCGGGAGAGGCTTAGGACACAGAGGCTCTCGTAAGTCAGCCAATCCTTCTCGTTGGTTTTATTCCACCCCATTACCACTTTGCTGCTTCTGGAGTTGTTGTTGTTGTTTTGTTCGTTTGTGTGTTGGTTTTATTTATTTCGTCACTGGTTTCACTGTGACACCATTTGGCCAGTTCGCAACGATGCTGGATGGATGGATGGGACTGAACGTCCAACTCGCAAGCTTTGGAGATTCCTCGTTCAAATTTTGCTTCAAATTTGGCGCCAGGTTTTGGGGGTTCTGGGTCAGAAGTGGGGTTTATATATCAAGCCACGATTAAACATGTCCTTCCGTGATCAGCTTTACAGACCACGATGGGTCAATTTCCCTAACTGGATAAGCCACAATCAAACAGACTGTCGAATGCTCGGTGCCGTATTTTTTTGTTAGCAAACCACAGTTATGGGTCCATCACGTCTTCAGCCAAGGTGTCCGCGGCTGGGGATTCTGGGCGTTGAAGTCCACCCATCCTACCGTTCATATAAGCCATGATTTGAAAACAAACAAACAATCCGTGGCCTGTTTGCCACCAAGGGTGAATCTAAAGGGCAACTATGCTGGGCTTCTCTGTATCCATGATTTAGATTTATAAGCATCGTGGCTTAGCTTCGGAGGCGTTTTTGCAAAAGGACGTTTGCCGAGAAACGATTTCTGTAAATCTGTATTTCTTCGCTCGGCTGGCGTTGTGCTCCGCCTTCCACCCAGAAACTTAGTTTTGCACATCGGGTGGGCTTGCAAGGGGTTGGGGGAACCATTTTGTCAGGGTTCGATCAGCTGCATTCATTTCGGGAAATTTGTTTTCACCGTGTTCGTTTTTCTTTTATAAGTGCCTTCACTTTGCTTTCGGGGGCCCTTCCTTGGGGGGGCAGGCTGTCTCTGGGGAGCAAAGCAGTGGTGGGGATTCAAAAAAATTTCCCTATCGGTTTGGTGGGCGTGGCTAGGTGGGGGGGCCATGTGACTGAGTGGGCGCGGCCAACTTGACGTCACTCACGCCCACTCAATCACATGCCCCTCCACCTAGCCACGCCCACAGGAAAAGCTGGGAAACTTTTTAGGATTTTCCTCTAAGCATTCCCACCCTCCCTTTGTTAGTCGCCCCCATTTTCCCGCTTCCTCCCCCCCCCACTGCCTCTTTGGTTGCTTACCTTCTGCGGCGGCTGGTTCAGTCCGGAGGGCAAGCTAAGTGGTTTTTGGCGGCCCCCAGCCAGACGCCGCTTCTGGGAAGTGGCCGACTGGCAAGGAAGCCACCCACCCATCGCCTCTTTGCATACTGGCTCTCAAAGAGGCTGGAGGCTGGCCGCTGAAAAGTCCCCTGGTCGGTGAAAATGTGGCTGCCGTCGCCGCCATCTTCTTCGCGCATCCCATTGCCTTGCAAGTCCGCAACTGGCGACAGGGAGACTAGCTCGGGGGCGTGGCCAGCCATTGCTACCGGTTCGCCAAACTGGAAAAAATTTCTGCCATTGGTTCAGGCCAACCGGTGCGAACTGGCTGAATTACCACCTCTGGAGCAGAGCCTGTGAGTCCTTCGCATCCGTTTGGGCTGGAGTGGGTTCTCAAATATTTGCATTGGAAGAGGTTGATAAAATTGAAAAACATGCCTTTAAGCTGTTTACAGCCGTGTTGGGTCACTTTAAGACGTGTGGACTTCAACTCCCAGGATTCATAGCTGGCTGGAGATTTCTGGGAGTTGAAGTCCACTCGCCAAGCCTGGGAAACACCCAGCCAAAAGATGATTAAAGCTGGGACTTTCTCCAAGCAATATCCATTTTCAAGATCTTTTCTGGTCCACAAATCAGATATTCCAAATTTATCCTAGTTAGGGATTTTTTTGCCCTTCTATTATTTATCTGTGGATACCTGCTTTCCCCCCCAATCAGCTTCTGAATTCTTGAAAATAAACAATTGAAGTGTTACCAGTTGGAGGAAGTATTTAATGTCCCTAACCTGAAAATACAGGAATTGAAGAAAAGGCCATGTTTGGGTTGGTCCCTCGGGTGGGGAGGGGGTGTCTTCCTTTTGGGGGGGGGGAGAAGAAGACCTTTTTTGCAGAGAAGGTGTCACTTCGTTCATGGAGATGGGAAGGGACAGTGGTGGGATTCAGCCGGTTTGCACCGGTTCGGGCGAACCGATAGTTGGAAGGGACCCCTGGTCCCTCCCCTCCCAGGAGTCTCCACGCAGCCCATTTTGGGTGCCAGGTGAGTGCAGGGGCTGCACGGAGGGTCTGGGAGAGCAACAATCAGGCCTTCCGGAAGTCCAAAAGCGGGCCTGTTTCCAGCTTCCGGAGACCCGGGGAGGCCATTTTCGCCCTCCTGGAGGCGCAGAGAAACCTCCAGAACCTCTGGATGGTGAAAAACAGAAGTACAGGAAGTCCGGAAACAGGCCAGTTTCTGACTAGCTCGAGGGAGGCCACTTTCACCTCCTGGACGCTCGGGGGAGACTCCGGAGCCTCCAGAGAGTGAAAAACGGGTGTACCAGAAGTCCGGAAACGGCCCAGTTTTTGACTTCTGTAGGCTCTCCAGAGCCCCCTGGAGGCTGTTTTCACCCTCCTGGAGGCTTGGGGAAGCCTCCAGAGGGCGAAAAACGGGCCTATTAGAAGTCCATAAATGGGCCTATTTCTGCCTTCCGGAGGGCCTCTGGTGGCGGGGGAGGCCTTTTTCGCCCTCCCAAAGGTTCGATGAAAGTCTCCGGAGCCTGGGGAGGGTGGTGGCGAGGTGGCGCAGTGGTGAAATGCAGCACTGCAGGCTACTTCAGCTGACTGCAGTTCTGCTGTTCGGCTGTTCAAATCTCACCGGCTCAAGGTTGACTCAGCCTTCCATCCTTCCGAGGTGGGTAAAATGAGGACCCAGATTGTTGTTGGGGGCANTGTGTGTGTGTGTGTGTACGTACACACACACACACACACACATACATGCAACAGTCGCTTGTAAGCCCCCCCCCCCCCCCAGTGCTATTCTAACTTTGAACAGTTCTAAAAGAATGGCTGTCAAGGACCTTATTTTCTAAAGAAATATCACTTTAAACTGCATTCAGTTTTGGTTGCCACGTTGTAAAAAACAAAGTTTTGGAGACTCTAGAATGAGTGCAGAGAAGAGCAACAAAGATGATTTGGGGACTGGAGGCCAAAACATATGAAGAACAGTTGCAGGAACTGGGTATGTCTAGTTTAATAGAAAGAAGGACCAGGGGATAGCAGTCTTCCAATATCTCAGGGGCTGCCCCAAAGAAGAGGGAGTCAAGCTATTTTCCAAAGCAATTGAGGGTACAACAAGAAGCAATGGGTGGAAACTAATCAAGGAGAGAAGCAACTTAGAACCAAGGAGAACTTTCCTGACAGTAAGAAAAAATAATCAATGGAACAACTTGCCTCTAGAAGTTGTGAATGTTCCAACAGTGGAAGTTTTTAAGAAGATGTTGGATAGCCATTTGTCTGAAGTGGTGTAGGGTTTCCTGCCTGAGCAGTGGGTTGGACTAGAAGACCTCCAAGGTCACTTCCAACTCTAAATAGTACAAATTCAAATAATGTGATTATATCCTGAGATTCATTAGCCACACTACTCGAGACCTACCTGCTCAGGAGTAGGCATTTTAGCATCTAAGTACGTTGCCCCATTCAATACGTGGATGAGAGAGAGGAGAAGAGGATTTTCAATGCAATTTAGAAAAGAACTTCTGAAATCTTTACATTAAAGGGACATAAAGGAAGACTGTTATGAAACGCAGGTCTGATGACTTATCCTGGCTCTTTGCCAATTCCCAATCAAGTTAACAGCCCAATGACAACTTCATGACTTGGTTGTGAGCCAATTAATTCAGTATTAAGATTCATTTCCTGCCTTGTTTTCTGTCTTCCCTTTACTGAACTCTAGTTCCGAGTCCTTCGGAGAGATGAATTCCTAGACACTCACAAAGCACCTGGCCTACAGTGGTTGCGAAAATTAAAGTTGAGTAATATTGCTGGAACCACTTCACAGTTGAGGAGAAGGGTTATATTTGGAATGCTCATCAAGAGAGAGAACCCTTTGTCTACTGCAGCCATCAAATCCTTGATCCAGTTTATCCAAATCAGTTAATCCAATATTCCCACTACCAGCAGCAATTTATGAGCATTAATCTAAAACAAAGGGATTAAGAAGAATATAATCATCCCACACAGATTTGCTCAGGAGAGAACTCATCTGATGTCAATGGGGAACAGATCTACCAATGCTTGCAGGTGGCGGTGTAATGCCTCCAGAATGCAAGACTTTAAATACTAGTTGTTAGGTGACCCAAGAAAGTTTTTTATTCCTTTTTTTTAGGGGATCTGCAGAGAAGAGCAACAAAGATGATTAGGGGACTGGAGGCTAAAACATATGAAGAACGGTTGCAGGAACTGGGTATGTCTAGTTTAATGAAAAGANGCCCTGAGTCCTCCCAGAGAAGGGCAGCATACAAATAATAAAATACAAATACCGTTATTTTATTCTTGTTCCAGGATACATCTTGTTTTATTCTTATCTTATTCAACCATAAAACATACTGGAAACCAGAATAACTGGCTGGGAAGTTCATCACCAAAGGGATGAAACAGCCGCAGAAAACTCAACCCTTAAGATTTTATTCATCCTCATGCATTTTTCTTTTGAGGGTATTATGCCATCTTCTGCCCAACAGCATTTTTTCTTAGGGTTCCATTATTCATCTGAATCTGCGCTGCTGTATCAGTTCATGATTCCATCCCTCTGCTTTGCTTTCCCCTTCAATTTCTCATTTTCTTCTGATCTCCGCACTTGAACATTTCCAGGGACTGGAAATGTTTATTGTTCTTTAACGTCTCTACTACTTTTTTTGCTACCAGCCCTTTGATCTCAGTAAGAACAATCTAAAAATAAATACGGAGTTAGCCAAAGCAAATTAAATATACCGGACCTGTGGGAATGTCGCTGGTGACTGACAGTTTGGCTCAGGAGGTGGGACCACATTCCTACTCGGCCAATGATTTAATTGGTTTCGGTTTAGTGCATTGAGAAAGTTAACTCTACTATAATGGCTTGTGAAGCATAATTTATGGCTTAGCCCCATGCCTTATACATTGCTTATCGATTTTATTCTTTGGAAGTGAGAAGATTTGGTTTTCCACAAGCTTTCTCTAGAGAGAATGGTGGAAAAGGTTCACCAGAGGTCTGTCAAATGTTACAGCATAAAGAGAGATTTTTTAAAAATCATAATAATCCATAGGCAGGCCTTTTAAGAAGCATTATCTAGGGAAGATTTTTTAGGAAGAGCTGAAAGCTGTTCTTATTTACATAGGTAAAGGTTCCCCTCACACATCTGTACTAGTCGTTCCTGACTCTAGGGGGTGGTGCTCATCTCCTTTCAAAGCCGAAGAGCCAGCACTGTCTGAAGACGTCTTCGTGGTCATGTGGCCCGCATGACTCAACGGCAAAGGCGCACGGAGCACTGTTACCTTCCCACCAAAGGTGGTTCCTATTTTTCTACTTGCACTTTTTACATGCTTTTGAACTGCTCGGTTGGCAGAAGCTGAGACAAGTCATGGGAGCTCACCCCATTACATGGTGCTAGGGATTCGAACTGCCGAACTGCCAACTTTTCGTATCGACAAGCTCAGCGTCTTAGCCACTGAGCCACCGCGTCCCGTTCTTATTTACATAGTAACTTGCAAAAATGATCAGGTCAGTGCATTAGGATTGGCATCAGGCAGGGGT